TAATCTTTTCTTTCGCCATTGGAGTGGAGTTTGCTGTTAGCAAGAACATGATTTGGCGGTTATTAAGTTTGGACAAGGATTCAATGATATTGAAGCCAAGTTCGGGAATGTCGTTGTTGTCATAATGAAACCTGAAATGGACAAGTCCGTCGAGCCTGTGGTGGAGTTTAACTTGAAGTCTAAGGAATTTCACAAAGAATTCTACTGTTGTTGTAAAGTCTGCCTCTAGGAGCGTAGGAACTACTCCCAGGACTATTTCTGCTTCTGCCACTGGATTCACTGCTATTACACCAACTGTTCCACTAAACAAAGGGAAGGAGATTCTATACGATGAAGTGTCAGTCGCTACTTTTGCCCCACCGTTTTCCGTATTTGACATCGGGTCCAATTCAAAGTCTGTGCAACTGACCAAGACAGGGAATAAGGCGTAACCAGAAAATTCTAAGGGCCGAGAAGTCGAAAGCCACAGAGATGACTACTACTAACACCGCCCTCCAACTGGATGAAACAGGATTACATGAGACCTCACCTCTACGCATGGGGAGTGGGTTTCACCAGTTGCTTGCTACCTATGGAGAGGATGGTGTATATGGGGTTGCTACCACAGTACCGTCGCCATCTCTCAATAATGGTCCAAGGCCGGTGACAACATTCGAAGAAAAATCTGAGAGAGTAACAACGGTGGATAAAGGCAAGCAATCAGTACAGATTCAGGTCGAACAGCCTCAACAAAACTACCAGTAATATTTGCAGGAGTATGATCTACAACATAGCCAACAATACAACCAACAACACAATCAACAGTCATCCCAACATAGGTTTGATAATGCTTTTTACAACACTTCTATTTTTAGGCTCTCGTCTAACCGTGTTGTTCAACATAAGTTTTGACTCATCTTAGATTCCGAGGTTGTCATTTGGTACGATGTAAACTTTTCTATCTCCACGGGCTATTTGCATAATCGAGTATTATGCAAGTGTAAGTTTCAAATAATAAAATTAATATGATTGAACAATTAAATAATATCGTCTTCAAAACGCAGCCACACAGTAGGATAGTTCGAGAGGCCATTGAGGTTCCTCCTCATGATCTGTGACATCCTCTACATTTTCCTTCCTTTAAACTCCTAAATAACTGCTTTAATTTGGTCATTTCCTACTTGATTTTTCGTGTCCTACCGTGAAAACTTAAACCTTGAATTTTTTAAGACTAGTACCTCTCATTATCGAGAATTTTCTCAAGTGACTTCGGTCATTTGAGATGTAATTAACTATAGGAGTTTGCCGCTATAAAGAACTTGGAACCATGTAAAATAAACCATATTTAATCTTTGTATTAGATAGGGGAATTTGTCGGTCACATAAAAGGTTTGCAGACCAAACGAATGTCACAAATCTCTTAGTTTGCATGATTGGGTACATTGTCGAGATATACACTTATCTTTCGGGAAAGTGTATTATTCGCGGTATCAGACACGATTATGTGAACTATTAGACTAATCAGATCCATTCAGTCTTATTTTACAATATTAAAACACATTATTTTCAAATATAATAATAATAAAAATAAATTATATACATTCTATATTAAATTAAATTTACAAAATTATATTTTCAAGAGAATTTTACCAACATCACCCTATAAATTTCGTGAGAGGGAGACAAGACCTTATCAGGAGAGTTGATCGATGAGTGTGAGAGATGATAGACACAAGCTAGGGTTTCCGATGTTAACAGATGGGGACGGCTCTATCAAACAGGGAGGAAGGAGGCGGCGGTGAAGAGTGCTTTGTCGTGTTGAGCCACGGTGTCGACACAAAGCAATTACGTTTGATTGTCCGAAGGAAGTCGAGCATCACACGCCAAGGAGAAGCTAGCCCGTGCGTAGAGGAGGTAAAATTACTGTTTGCGCATTGTTTAGGCTCGACAGAAGCTAGCCCGCATGTTTTATATATATATATATAAAGCCCAAGTGCAAATATATTAATACGAAAAAGATATAGAAAGGTTGTATGAGAGGAACTAAAAGAAA